TATATTATTGACTTTAAAAATATTTATATTAATGTTGCTAAATTTTTTTATTAAGACTAACATAGCACACAGAATACACATTTTGTATAATTTATAAATGATAATCTGTTTAAAGGGAATGGGGGGACTGAGTAGTTTTCTAAAAAGGTTAGTGCTTTGTATAACTATAAAAAGGTGAGAGGTTTTGTTTCACAATATTATCATATGTTGTGGTTGTACTAAAATATATTTATATTTATAGAGTTAATTATCTATACACTATTAATATAAAAAAAATTTATACTGACAACTAATTATATTTTTTAATTGTGTTATATTATTGTAAACACATTTACTTTTAACGGTGACATGACACAACTAAAAGATATAATTAGTTATTCGTGTAAAATATTTTTACACTAATAATATATAAATAATTAACTCATATTTATATTTATATTATGGTGAAAATATTCAATGATGCCATTATCATATCCTTCCTCATTTAAAAGCTGTTATAAAGTTTCTACTTTAAAAATAAAAAAGTAAAAAAGCAAAAAAAATATGTAGAATCCGGACAATGTTTAAATCAAATGTATCGAGTTTTTTTTTTTTTTTTTTTTTTTTTTTAAAAAGAGTCGTATTAATATGGTTATTTTTTTATTAAAATTAATTACCTAACATAGAAACTATAGAAACTAAAAACTAGTTGTATAGTATTTAACTGCTTATGTTTTAGAGATATCCTATATTCCTTTTTGAGGAATTCTCAATACGATGAATCAAGCTAATGTACCAGTCCATGTATCAGAAATCCATAAATAGACCTCAAATACATGTATCAAAAACTACATAAGCATGCAAAATATTGAATAATAGTTTAGAGTTCGTTAAAGATTATAACTTTGCTAAGATCTGTTAAAAAGAAATTCTATGCCACTTTAGGTAAGAAAACGAACATCATCAAATATCATTATATAAATAGACTTAATAGATTTTGAGGTATTATTTTTTCTCAAACTTAATTTTTCATTTATGACTTAACTATCTTAATTCTTTTAGTATTATAATTCGTTCAAATATACTACAAAAGTTTGTCTTGAAAAAGTTATAGAGATTTTGTCATAAATCAAAATATTTTATTTTTGGAAATTGTTTGAAACAAAAGATCATTAACTTTCATAATGATTAAATCTTAATACGTATGGATCAAATTTAAACTTTGATATCGTCGTTATAATTTTGATGAATTAAAACAAAATTTGACTCGTTTCCCTCTCCCCCAATATTTTTATTACATAAAAGTTTGTCCAATTAAAATTTCACTCGTCTCTAGTTTTTAATGTGCATTTATTTTCTTAGTTTCAAATTAATATACTTATTACTTTTTTTGAAGCAATATACTTATTACTTAAGAAATAAATTATATGCATAAATCAAATTAGAAATAGACAAAAGTTTGTTAAGTTATTTATTCTATGAAACGGAGAAAAATTATCTCTATTTCCTTTTCTTCAATTTTTTCTAGAAAGTAACATTTATTTTCTTAAAATAAGCTTTTTTTTTTCTAAAAAAAAAAAGAGGTGTAAGGAAAAAAAATATAAAAAAAATATTTTTTCCTTGATGCACCATTTCTTTTAGGTATGAAATTAATCACAAGTTCACAATTCATTTACATGATCGTGTGTATAGTAATTCCTTTTTTTTGTTATAAATGATAAATACTTATGATTGTGTAGACCAAACAAGTTAATTAACCATAAGTAGTAAAACAAGAAAGTAAAATGTAATCCTAGATGAAAAAAAAAACACTTGAACCAACTTGTGTATTCACATTTCATATTGACTTATTTTTTATGTTTTTTTTTTTTATAAATTTGACTTATTTTAAACTAGAAGTAATTTACAATATATCAAAATTTTACTAAAACTTTAGGTAATTTTTTTAAAAAAATAAAAATGAATCCAAATATGAGCTTTTGAGCCGATGAAAGTACGAGAGTGACTGTATGAAAAAGAAGAAGTAAAGATTTGTGTAACACAGCAGTCATGAGCAAATATAAAATTTGAAAAATTCTGGCAAAGATTGTGTCGAATATAATATAGTATAATAATGAATACAGGAAATGGTGTTTGACATGCACATTGCAGATTTGAAATTGCTCTTTTGCGGCGGCAAGAGAAAAATGAGTTATATATATTTTAATATATTATCTTATAATAATTACATCACTCCCCTTGTTTTTTTTCTTCTTTCTTCTCTTTCATTATTCTTTTTATTACAATTTGGAGAGAAGGAGACATTTTGTGATTTTCAACATTTTCTCAATTTAAAAAATTTAAAAACATCATGAATTGATCGGTTATTGAAAGTTGACCGATGCTAGGTACTTAAAAAAATTGATTTTTTTTAATAATTAAAGATATAGTGATCTAAAATTTGTGGAGATCAAAAATAATAATTAGAATAAATATTATATATATATATATATATATATATATATATATATATAGCATATA